TCTCTCTCCTCGCTCAGCAGCTCCAGCTGTGCCTCTTATCTCCCTTCTCCATGGGCTGTCCTCGCGTTTCCCTCCTTCCCCGGCCCTGCTCCAAGCCAACAACCCCAAGGTCGCCTTCACCTTGTCCTGGCCGAGCCCCTGGGCAAGAGCTTTGTGAATCAAAAACCTCACTTGGCCCAGGCCACGCCATAAATTTGCATCTGAAGCGATTTGCGGGGCTGGCTCTGCTCCTTGGGGAATTTTTAAGTGGATTTCAAGGATGTGACAGATTTATGGGGCTCGGGACTTCCCCTGGGTCTGTCCAGAGCCGCGTTGGGGGCAGGGGTTAAAGACCCCACAGCATAAAAGGCTGAGCCACAAGTTAGAGGGAATTTGGGGTTTTTGCAGCATTAATAAGAGGCTGGGGTAAAATCTGGAGTGAGGGGGTTGGATTTATCTCCCCAAACCCCTCCTGTGAGCCGCAGGCTGGAACAACAGAGCTTTAGACACCGAATGCAGATCCCTGGTGCAGCCTGAGATTAAGAGGGAAGGATTTCTGGCTTTTCCCTTTATACCTGCCAAAGCTCCAGCGCTGACCTCTCAGCCCCCTCTGGCCCATTTTCCTGGCCGGCAGCTGTGCCTGGATTAAACCTTGTCACCAGGAAGGTCACGAGTGACCGCAGGGGACAGGTCACAGCCCCGAAAAGGGGGTGGGACCCACAGCACCCTCGGAGCAGGAATCTCTGTGGGATCAGGGAAGGGATGCACGATGCTGTTTGCCTTCGGAGCTGGCAGCAGCTCGGCAGGAGGAGCTGCCAGCGCAGCACAAAGGCAGCAGCAGAGCAGCCCCGGCGCTGCTGGACCCCCAAACCCTCCCGTGGCAGCGCCCCCACTCCTCTGACTCAGCCGGGTATTCCAGCAGCCGGCAGAAGAGGAATAACCGATATTTTCCGGGGAAAAGCACGCAGCTGAGCGAGCCCCCCGAGCCCGGCAGCAGCCCCCAGAGCCGCCCCCTTCCCATCCCAAACCTCAGGTCCAGCAGGAGCAGGAATTCTCCCAATCCCATCTCACCCAATCCCGTCCTTTGCAGCACCCCTGGGATCACAGGATTTGGGGATGCGGCCCCCATCTCATCACCCCCGCACCCCATCCCAATCTCAACCCCAACCCCAACCCCGGGCAGCGGTTGCCCCATCCCTGAACTCCTCTGGCACGCTCGGGGAGGGTCGGAGGGAGCTGCAGCCCGGGGGAGGTGACCTTGGGGACAGCGGGAGGGGATGTGCAGCGCGGCACAGGCACACCTGGCACAGCCCCCCGTGCCACGCCAGGTACCTTGTGACTGCTCCTGCCGGAGCTGCGGCGCTTGCTGGGGAAGGGCTTCTATTTTGGGCAGAATGTTTTCACTTGGCCTATATTAAGCACATTCATTTCGCAGTCACAAGGCAGCGCAGGGCGGTGCGGGAGCCGCTTCTGCTCCGGCAGCAGCTCCGCAGCCTGGCAGCTCCCCGATCCCAGCGGTGCTGGCACGGCACAGCCCAGCCCAGCTCCTCTCCAGGTGCTGCCCGACCCAATCCCGGTCCCATCCCTCCGTTCCCACCCCGCTGAGCCCCTCTGTAACTTCCCGGCTCCAATTCCTGCATTAAGCATCCCCCACTCCCAGCTCCGGGAGCCGAGAAAAGCCACCGGGAATTGCTGCAACACCGACACGCGACTGCAGCTGGGAGGGAAAGCGTTGAGAAACCCTCAGGTGTGACCTCTGCCAACCCCGCCGCACTCCCCAGGGATGCTGTGTGGGCGCAGGGATCGGGATGGAGGCATTTCCACCTTTTCCCTCTTTCCCTCCCACTCTCCTGGGCACAGCGGCCTTGGAAAGGAGAAGAATCTCTGCCCCGTGCCTCGTGGACGCTCTAATTGTGATTACAGCCCTTCAGCGATGACAACAAAAAATAAACAAACACCTCTTCCAGGTGCCACGGCCCGGCTGGATGAGGCTCGTGGGAAAGCCCTGGGGCAGCGGGATAATGAGGAGCCAGGATGAGGAAGGAGCATCCTCTGCTCTGACTCAGCTCGGGCTCAGCCTGCTCCCACGGGCTGGGATGGACGGGGAGGGTGGCAGTGCCCACCCTGCTGCTCCCCTGTGCCAGCTGGGCACAGGAATCCGCCTGGAATTCCGGCTGGCTGGGCAGGGGTGGGCTACAAACAGCACATTCAGCCTCCCCGAGGCTCTTCCCTCCATCCCTGGTTTGTTGTCTCCCTCTTCCCAAGGCTCTCCGCAGCCTGGCATGAAGGGCAGCACAGGCTGGACGCTTCCCTAAATCCTGCAGGGAAAACCTGGGGCTGGAACAGTTAAGTTGGTTCAAATCCCGATGTTGATACACTTATACCAGATTAACCTTTGCATCAATAGGCTCCCAAATCACACTGAACTGGCTTAACCCTTCCCTAAATGGGTTTAACTGGTTTGCAGCAGGGGCTGGGAGAGCTTTAACGAGCTCACAGCTGAGTCCCAGCGGTGGTGCTTTCCTGGGAAGCCCCGAGCCCCTTCATGATCCCCCAAAACCAGTTTGGGGACTGCAATGAGGTGAGGGCATTTCCCATAATCGGAGGGGAACACTTCAGCGTGGGCATGTTTTCCAGAACATTTTCCAGCTTCTCCCCTGCCCAGGTTTTTCGCAGCCCCTTGGCCCCCTGGCTCTGAAGGGGACCCCAAAATCTCCCCTATTTACAGTTCCTCGCACCAGCAGGGTCACAGAGCCGCTGCCTCTACACCCCAAAAACCCTAAGCTGCAAAGCGACAGAAAACAGCCTGGGGTCCCCAACACAGCCAGCCAGGCCCCCTTTTCCACCTGCCCCTTTTCTCACCTATCAGTATCCCAGGGCAGGGCTGAGCTTGTGCCCAGCCGGCTCTGGCAGAGCCCCAGGGCTGAGCCCGGAGCCAGCGAGGGCTGAGATCCCCCCAGGGTGATCATTTGGGAGAAATTTGGGTGAGATTAGGACCATCTGCAGATGCTCCGAGACGCGGCAGCAAACCCGCCCTTGCTCGGGGCTGGGAACGTTTCCCTTGCTCTGTGACCCTGCAAAACAGGCGCCTTTCAGTGCCTCCCACCAAACCAGGCGGAAAATCCCCCCGAGTTCCCTCCCTAAGCTGTGCCTGCAGCGAGGCCAGAACACCCCGGAGGTGCGAGAGCCCCGCTGGGTGCCCCGCAGCACCTCGGGGTGGAGGTGAGGCAAGCGCTGGCCCCGTGTGTGCCGAGCTGCACGTTCCTGCTCTTATCAAATCCATCGGGATCAGCTCCAGCGGCTCCCGCTGCCAGCGCTCTCCAGCGAGGGGAACAGCCCGGGAGGAGGGCGGACAAGGGGCTCCTCCTGCCCCACTATCCCCGCATTCAAGGGGCTCCTCCTGCCCCATTATCCCCGCATTCAAGGGGCTCCTCCTGCCCCGCTATCCCCGCATTCAAGGGGCTCCTCCTGCCCCATTATCCCCGCATTCAAGGGGCTCCTCCTGCCCCATTATCCCCGCATTCAAGGGGCTCCTCCTGCCCCGCTATCCCCGCATTCGAGGGGCTCCTCCTGCCCCACTATCCCCGCATTCGAGGGGCTCCTTCTGCCCCATTATCCCCGCATTCAAGGGGCTCCTCCTGCCCCATTATCCCCGCGTCCGAGGCGTTCCTCCTGCCCCATTATCCCCGCATTCAAGAGGCTCCTCCTGCCCCATTATCCCATCGCCTCCCTCCTTTCCCACAGAGTCACCGCTCGGTCCCACTGAGTCACGCTCGTGCCTCCTTTCCGTGGCCCGTGGCCATTCCCCTGGAGGCTCGTGCCTCCTTTCCGAGGCCCGTGGCCTCGGTTCCCACTGACTCACCCATTCAGAGCTCACCCTCTCTTTTCCAGTTCCCATCCCGGGCATTTCTGGTCACCCGAACTCACCTGGGACCTGCCTTCCTTCCCTGCATCCCTGAGGAGCATCGCAGAGCAGGACCCCCAGGCTGGGCAGCTCCTAAAATCTCCTTCCAACCTGTGCAGAAGTGCTTTCCCCAGGCCTCAAGGCTGCAGGGAATTTCCTTTTCCAGGAGCAAAGGATTCTCCCCATTTCTCACCCTGGCTGGCATCTGCTGCTGTGGGTTTTTCTTTTTGTTTTTTTTTTGTTTGTTTTTTTCCCACAGATCATGGGAAAATTAAAAGCTTTGCAGAATATAGATGCAATCAGTGCCTCAAACATATTCCTTCACACTTCCCATCCATCCCTTCCTCCATCGTGGAACCATCCCATGGCTTGTTTTCTCCAGCTGTAGTAGAGGAAACATTTAGGAACGAGTCTGAAAGACTTGGGAACTGCAGGGAAATGGGATTTTTTGGGGGGAGCAGGGAGACACGGGCCCGGTGCGTGCCGGCGCACCCAGAGCCGGCCTGAAGGGCTCCGAGTGGAAAATTCCTGTCCGTTGAGCTGGGATTGTGGTCCAACAGGTTTTTAGTCCCAGCCCCTTGAGTTGTGTCAGTGCAAAAACTCATCCCTAGGGCATTTGTTTGGATCACATGGGCGAGCGTATAAAAATGGGTGCTGCCTGTCCAGGCTAGTTCGCACCTGGAAAGGGAAGGCAGCGACTGGAGCGGAGGGAAGAGCCGGGACAGAGCAGGGCAGCGGCGCCCAGGTAACCACACAAATCATCCCATTTTCCCCAGGGGGGCATGGAGGGGTGAGGGTTTCTCCGCCGGGAATTTGTGGGGGAATGCAAAGGCTCTGAGAGCTGGGAAATGCAGGAATTGTGCGGGAGAAGGGCTGGATCCTGCCCCAGGAACGGCTCCAAGCGCCCCCCGAGGCTTTTCCCTGTGCCCAGGGGCGATGCAGCCCCTCCGGAGCAGGTGGCACTCGCAGCTCCTCCTTCCCTCACGACCCCTTGGAGCTGTCGAGAATTGGGGTGTGGGACCTGTGGGGTGCCTTGGTGGCCCTCAGGGCGGAGAAGAGGCTGCTCAGGCAGAGCCACGTGTGAGGAGACACCGAGATGTGCGGGCAAAGAGTTTACCAGCTCGGAATTCGGTCCTGCTCTCCCACGGGAAGGGGAGACAAAGCCGCGGATAAAGCCGGCCCCTGGCAGACCATCAGCACGGCCACGCAGCAAGTCTGGGCTGTCGGTGGCTCCTGGCACACCATCATCATGGCCATGAAGGTGCTCAGAGTTGGTGGTGGCTCCTGGCACACCATCAGCATGGCCATGAAGGTGCTCAGAGTTGTTGGTGGCTCCTGGCACACCATCAGCATGGCCATGAAGGCACTCAGGGCTGCTGGTGGCTCGTGGCAGGTCAGCAGCATGGCCATGCAGCCACCCAGAGCTGTTGGTGGCTCCTGGCAGGTCAGCAGCACGGCCATGCAGCCACCAAAGGCTGGGTCACCTCCCCGCCCCTCAGAGGCAGCGCTGCTTCCCTCGCCCTCGGGGTAGGAAGTGCCTTTGGGGACCCGGGAGCTGTTTCACAAGCCAGGGCTTGGATGAGGAAAGAGGGAGATCCTCCTGCCCCGGGGCTGCTGCTGCTCCCAGTGCTGTCGCTCTGTTCCCGCTGTTCCCTCCCTCCCTCTCTCTCCCTGCTGGGATCTCCAGAAGTTTTCTCCCCACTCAGCTTCTCCTTCTCTGCTTTCCATCCCTACTTGGAGACAGTTGCTTGGAGACAGACTCCTGGTTCTTTGATGTTTTAATCCCTTTTTATTTTTTAATGGGGGAATAGTGGGAGATGGCACGATGGGTGCCACCACACTGCCTGGGAACAGAGTGGGGAGGACAGTCCAGGGAAGATCTGACACCAGAGGGAAAGGTCTAAACCAAACAAAACCAGCATTTTCCCCTCATCAGGAAATATTCAACCCCCCGCCACGCTCCGTGCCCAGAAACAAGTCCTAGGAAGGTCCCATTTTCTCCCTTCTCACCGCAGGCCCCCACCCAGGTGCGGCATGAGAATGAATTCCTTGGCTGGGGGTGGCTTGGAGGGTTATTTTCCTTTTCTGACGAAGATCCCAGGCTGGTTGGCAACATTATCTGCCTATTTTCTGCACTGCTCTCCATAGCAAGAGAAACCAAGAGAAAAAGGGAAACAGAGAAGCCACAGGATGCACCGTTATAAGAGGAACTTTCCCCAAAATAGAAGCTTTTCACAGTTTTTTCACGAGGCGTCAGCAGCTCTTAATGCTGTACGAAACTGTGAATCCTGCCTGGAGCAGCCGGCGGGAGCCTGTCAGTGCTCCAGGCTGCAGCTGCAGCCTTCCCCAGGGTGTGGGGCCGGCTGTGCCCCCCAAAACCTGCCTGGGGTGTCGGGAACCAGCAGCTGGAAGCGCAGCCTCGGCTGTGATTCCATCCCAGCAGCTCCTTCTGCACCCCTCGTGGTGGTAAATGCAGCATATCCCAGCTGGAGGGTGCAGAAATCCTGCACGGATGGATCGAGACCTTGAGTTTCGCCCTGACCTGGTTTTTAGCTGCAAAAGATCCGTCTGGAGAGCCCCAAATGCTGATTAGCTCGGCGCTGGGGCGAAGGGATCCGGGCTTGTGTAAGGAGCTGCGTTTTACAGGAGCACACGGCTCCTTCTGGGTTTAAATATTTATAAGCTGAGTGACGACTCCCTGGAGTTCTGCAGCCCTATGGATGGCAGGGTGAGCTGTCACCGGGTGGTGTCAGGTGGCTGATTCCAGGGCTGGGACATGGGATCCAGCTGGGGCAGAGAATTCCTGCATGCAGGGAATTTCCAGAGCCCCCCAAACTCCTGGCTCTCAGACAGCCCTGCTGCATTGGCAGGGCAGGGGATGAAAGGTGCAAAAATGTTCTTTTTTTTGCTTGTTTTACACCTTCCCTTCTGGTATCAGCTGTTTCCCACCAGTGTGGCGGCACATACAAGTGTGTCCTTTTGTCCCCACTGTTCCCCCACCAAAATTGGATTCTGCCATTTTTGCAAAGTTCTGGTTGAAGATTCCTCCTGGCTCCAGTTGGATACTGAGCCTGTAAATGCCATTTTTTCGGAGCTGCCACCTCCCTCCCTGGCTGCTGATGGGCTTGGGGGGCCCATGGGGTGCTTGGAGCAGCTGTGCTGAGCAAGGAGACCCCTTGCAGCCTCCTCCAGGAAACAAAACTGCAGCATTTGGGATTTTAGAGAAGCAAAATGGAGAGGCGACCCTTGCTGCTCCTGCTGGTGAATCCATGGATGGATCCAGCACCGTGGTGGGTGCCTGGAACCCACTCCCTGCCAGGAACCAGCACTCTGCTGGCTTTGCCAGCAGCAAATCCCAGGCTGGACTCTGCTCCTGACGTGTGCAGGATGCAGTGACGGGGAAGGAGGGACAGCCCCTTGCCCTGCCTCGCTCTGGAGCCTTGGCCAAAGCCACCATGCCAGGGGACTCGGTGGCCCGCTGGCCACCCCAGGAGGCAGGCACTGCCCAGGGAGCTCAGATCCACAGGGAAGGCTCTTAGCCCAAGGGTGAGGTGCTTGGAGAGGGGGTGGGAGCTGGGAGAGCCCCACTGGGGCTGAGGGGAGGTTGTCACTGTGGAACCTTCGGAGCAGGGGACAGGTCTGTGCATGTCCCATGTTTTGGCTGATTTGTAGGGTGGCATGAGGAGGGCAGAGCTGGCGGTGGGACATGGGGACAATGGGGACACAAGGGACAGCTCTGTCCTCACACCAGGACACTGCTTGGCCAGCCCAGGACTCACCTTCCCAAAACCCTTCTGTCTCCAGGGTGGGGAGGTGACACTGAGTGGGGAAGGGGTGGCTTTGGGACGTGAGCCCGTGTTTGGGGGGGTCTCACAGATCCCTGTGCCCTCTCCTTGCAGAGCCTGCCAAGAGAAAGCGATGGAAAGGCCAGGGAAGGGCAGCCCTGCCGGGAAGATGACAGCCATGGCTCACAGCCTGTAAGTATCTCCTGCTGCCTCCTCCCATCCCTGCTCCTGGCACTTTTCCTCGGGTCACTTTCTCCGGGGACTTTGCTCTTTGCTCCCATCCCACCCACGCCACAGCAACGCCTCCATTCCCGTGGATGAGGTGGAAAACAGCAGAGAAAAGGCAAAGGCAGGGTCCTGGTGCTGGGGGCTTTGGGAATGTGTGGTCCGGGGTTTTTGGGGTGTCCCCCTGTCCTAAATTCATTTTGTCCAGTGAGGAATGCACTGCCTTGGTCTGTGCCACCTTTCAGCCCCTTGCAAGGTGGATGATGCTGGATTTGGGGGCAGGGTGGGGGGCAGAGCCAGGAAAGCTGTAGCAGTTGCAGGGTATCCAAGGAGCATAAGGAAAATGGATTTGGGTTTGGATTGCTGCATCCTGACCCCAGCGAGGCTGGGCAGGGTCCTGGCAGCACCTGGGAGGGGTGGAAATGCCATGGCTTTAAACTGGAGAGTCATAAATTTTACTGGGGCTGGAGCAATGCCCGCTCATATCTTGAATATCCTGAGGGCTTCTTCATTCCTGGCTGGGGAGGGGAGATGGAGAGAGGAGGATGCTGTGGGGTGAAAAGGGGGTTGGTGTGACCCCTGGAGGTCAGCCTTGGCTGTAGAGTTGGGCTCATGGAGCTGGACAGATGGAATTCCCTGGGGACAGGCTCAAGAGGCTTAAATTGGAGAGATGGGATGGGGAAGAAAAAGGCCTCTTAATCACAGCCCTGCCAGAGATCGCAGTGCTGAGGGAGGGGGATGGCACCGGGCAGCTGTGCCATGCTGTGCCATTCCGTGCCATGCCAAGCCGTGCCACAGCATGGGGATCAGTCAGCTGAGACCTGTGTTCCTCCTCCCTCGGAGGAGAGGGGCTGTGGGCAGCACCCACTGCTCCACAGCTGCTCCCGACCCCTTTCCCCCGGCCCGTGCCCACCTCGGTGCCTCCATCCGCGAGCTCTCTCCTCCCGGGAAACCTTTCCTCCCGGGAAGAAGGCCCGTGCGAGCTCCGCAGCCGGAGCGTTCCGCCTGCGGGTGACAATCGTGCTTTTGTTTTGCCTGGCTGCGAGAGGGGCAGGCGGGAATTTGGCTGCCCAGAAAGCTGCCGGGAACCCTTTCTGCCACAATTAGGCACCTGCTACAAGAGAGCAAATAAGCCAAATCATGCGGCTGGCAAACAAGCTTTACGTGTTCCTTCCCCGTGACCCACTCCAAGCAGCAGCAAGCTCCAGGCTCTGCGGCTCGGCTGCTCGCAGTTCCCGGGGCAGCGATTCCGCAGCTCCCGGGGCAGCGATTCCGCAGCTCCGCCGCCTCTCGGTCCCGGCGCGGGCGCCGCGGCAGCGCCGGGAGCTGCCTCTGGCCGGCTCAAAACCCAAAAGAGCTTTCCCCTCCCCAAATTAGCGGCTCCATCTCCTTCTGCTATGGAGAGACAGATCCCCGTGCTGCGAGTCCGGTGAGGCGGGGGCCGGCGGCCGGGCTGGGGGGGCTGCGCCGGGCGAGGCGAGCGCTGCGCTTGGCATCAGTGTCAGCCTGGCACGGGCCTGACCCGAGCGGGACGGGCTCAGGCCGTGCAGGGGGCCGAGCCTAGCGCGGCTCCGCGGCGGGGATGGGCAGGGAAGGCGGCTGAACGCCTCGGGAAGGGATGGCGAGGATCACATGATGCGGATATTCGGGGTCAGAGCAGCCGGCCGTGCCCGCCGCCTTCCCGGCAGCAGCGCTGCAAAGATGACTCGGAGTTTTTTTTGTGTCCTGAGGGTTCAGATTTCGGGGAGCTGCCCTGGGGGTGAGGACAGGGCTGCAATAAGCCATATAGAGAAGGGTAGAAAGGCAGCACTGCAGCGTGTGGCCTGTGCTTGGAGGGCACGGAGGGATGGAGCAGCTTTGCCCCCCACCCCCTCCCCGCGAGAAGCCCTGCGAGGGTTTGGGGGTGCTCCGGGGGGCTGTGGGGCTTGTGAGGGGTCTCGTCCACCAGCAGCACCACACATGGCCTAGCTGGGAGCTGGCACCTCCCGAAATTTGCGGGGAGGGAAGGGTCTCAGAGGGATGCAGGAGAGGGTGCACCCCTTCCCCAGATCAGGATCGGGGGGCACGGGGGAGGGG